TTCTATTTTTTCACATGTCGATATAATGTTAATGTATAAACAAATAATTTTAAAGGTGCTGTGTACTAAAAACACAAAAAACACTTACTGAGCACATTCAAGTGTCTCAATGTACCATCTTAACGAGGTATTTGACAAAAAATGTGATGATTTTGTTAATGATAATTGTAAATTTAAAGTGACTGTAATGTCGTTTATGTTTTAGAAATGACTCATTTACACTCGACAGCACTACAATGAAATACTAGCTTATAGATTATGGTTGAATTTTGTGTCAGAAGATTGAGTAGATGAAAATAAAGATAATAATAAATACCAAAAAATAATATACAAAGTAGGGCTGGACTGGGCAGACAACACAAGTCAAGAAACTACTGATGCAAAGCAGGAACCACTAGAGGTCAGCAAAAACATGTTCATCCTGCATTACTCTTTACGTAAATGATCTGTTCACCGAACATTAGATATTTCACATACCCCTGGTGTTATTATCAATAAAGCAGGGTGCTGCCATATACTGATGTTAGATTATTGGATCTATCAGTGGGACTATTATTGTACTTTTATCTGACAGTGCTTAAATAAAGCAGTTACAGTGCTACGCCTCATCTCTTTTCTTTCAGCTCAACTGAGGTGAGTCTGTTTCTGCTACAGGTTTATCTCTGTTAGAAGGAGTTTTTCCCCCTCACCACTCTGTGAAGGTCACTGAGACAGTGTATATCGGTGCTCACAAATGAAAGATCATTGAATGAAAGGGTCTTTTCAATATGCTGGTTGCTACAGAGCTGAACAGAATCCTGCCACCTATTGAACCAGATATATTACACAATTATCTTTTCACTGCATTGTACATTGCAGTCCTGTATTACATATAGTTTCATACATCATATATATAAAATTTCTCCCTAACATTTTGTTGGATTAATTCTACAATACAATCAAAACAGACCACTTTTGTTTAATTAGAAGTATAACGTAACATTATCTACAGCTGCCAATGCTTTATTTCAGCACTGCCAAATGATGCTCACTGCTTATTCATACCTTACATAGATGATTTGACACCCTCACGTGGACAACATGGGAAATGTCAGTATAGTCTCAGGTTATCCTGGAGTTTTAGTTGGACATTTGAAGCCAACTCTGCCAAGTAGGTTATGTTTCAACCTGTGTCTGTTTATTTGTTAGCAGGATTATGCAAAAACTACAAAATCTGATTTCAACCAATTGTTGTTGAGGGACAGAGGCTGGATCTATGAAGAACCCATGCATCCAGTATTTTGTTTCACTTTCTTTAGGAGAAATAAATTGTTTAGGTTATCGGACCATCTTGGAGGAGGTATACTCTCTATTCTCTAGTATGCACTCGACTCCTTATGTATTCACAAGCATACAAAGAATATATCAGAGATTTATTGTTTGTCAAAGGGAGAGAAATTACAAAAAGGCAAATCATTGAAACCCAAATCTGAAAATAGTTACACGCACGCCCACACAAACACTCACACTCACAGATAGAGAAATACATTCACATAACTAAGGCACACACCAGTTAGAGTTTTACTGCCATGGATACAATGTTGCTAGTAGAATAATAGCAGCCAAGTAAAGAGTAATTATAAGACAGAAACACATTTCAATCCAACAGAAATTGGAAAATAAAGGGATGACAAGTTTTAAGCAAATAGCTGTAAAAAACATGTGCACTAAAATAACAAATAGATAGAGTCACAATAATAAGAAAACATGTGTAAAGTCTGGGCACTAAGATGACAGAATGTGCTTTGCATGGAACAAATGCAGTCTTAGAGTGGGCCTAGTCATGATATTATCTCAAGTCAACAAGTCTACCATCTTAACACAATGAGGCATCTGTGTTTTTTATCCGATGTTGTAACTCAATTTTAAAACATAGAATTTAATATTTTTCAATTAATTAATATCACAATATAGAAAACAATTTACACAAATCACACATAACATACTAAAACCAATGTTCACTTGGATACAACTCTTCCCACATGTGTTTGTATGCTAGTATGTTGGTTACTATTAAATTGGACAATAGCAAAACAATAATCTGATATAATTACATCATCTCAATGTGTTTTACTGACAGTCAACCAATGATAACTATTGCCCAGTCTTGGTTGTGTGTGTGTATATCTTGTGTTAAGAATAAATCTATAAATCCAACATTTTGCATGGCTGCAGGCAGTGTTGTGTGAACCACGTACAATAATGTTCACAGGTGCTGGCTCAAATACAAACATCAGCTCAGTGTAGATAGCTCACAATAACTTCAACTGAACTGTCAAGTTCTCTGTGAAACTGAAACAATACTCTATTGAATAAAAGGAACAAGGGGCTCTCAGTGCTTTCGGTGCCTTCAGCGTGAAACCTGAAATGTGTAAACTTAAAATGATGACACCAATTCATGGATCCAAATGGACTGCAAAATAAATTACCAGTGCAGAGCTATGTAACAAAGAGTGGTGTCTCTCAATGTATCCACGTACATCAGATAAGTAAAATAAGTGGAAATATTTTGAGCAGGCTCTGGAATAGGATTTCAGACAGCAGACAAAGTTTACAGGAATAACTATAAATTATGATAAACAAAGTAATCAAGCTCATAACACACATTTCTCTGGAATTCACTTTCCAGTCTGACTTCATCTCCCTGAGTACACCTTTCCTATCTGCTCCAAGTTTTACAAATGCCAAAAAAACCATCAGGTTTCCATGAAACCAATCCTAATGTTTTCTATGTGCTTAAAAATCTTTCACAAGGATCACGGATAGTACATGTAAACTATTTCTGTATTAATAGTGAACTTCCCACGACCACATCAGAAGGCAACAGTTCACTGTAACTGAAAGCAACATCTGCTCATGTGATTATAGAAAGTGCTTTGGTTTTCTATAACGTAAACTGCATCTGTGTTGTTTCTGCACCAGTAGGCTACCTTTTACATAATAAATCTAACAAGTGTTCAGCAGCAATGACGACAAATCACACAGGATATATCCTAGTATAGAAAATTAGGATTTTAAAATATCCCCCTTTTTTAAAAAACCTCACTCAAACATACAAAAAATTATCCTTGTCCTTTCCCTTGCATCTCCAAAACAAAATGTAAAGTGATTTCCTATAAAGAAATGTTCAATCAGTCCACCTTTCCTTCATGCCCATTAGCTGCGACCATCTCCGGCTGCTCTCTCTGCTGCTTGTGCCAACTCTTGCTTTTTCTTCTGGCGAATCGAACAATGTCCACCATGAACACCCAGGAGAGAGCGTACATGGCCACTCCCCCGCACTTGATGAAGAATCTGGGTCTCGGGGAGATCAGCTCACAGTACAGCATTGTGCCTCCCACAAAGATTCGCATCACCACAAACAGCAGCACAAACAGGACGTCCACCACGTTCCCCAGCAGCGACCTGTAATGTCCCGTCTGTTTGAGGAACCAGCGTGCCTGCAGGAGTGGGTTAGTGATTTCACTGCCGAAGAGAACCGCACACGACTCGATGCCAGACTCCCCCAGCCACAGGGTCAGCAGGATTCCCAGGATGCTCATGGTGTGGTGGGCCAGCATAACGGGTCCCTCTGTGCGGAAGTACACACACCAGGCCATGTCAAAGATAAAGTAGCCCAGGCTCACCACCATGGCACTTATCTGCAGAGGGGTGTTCTTAGTACCTGGCATTCACAAAACAGAACAGAAACAAGTTTTAGGTGGGATATTTTCAAATGAAAGAAAAAAACAACCTGCTGAATTTTGAACGTGAAGGATTAGTCATCAAATAAAAATTGTATAAAGTATGTTGGCAATAGAATAAACTTATTACATATCTTTGGATTTTTTTGGGCAAACCAAGACATTAAATAAAAATTAAAATGAGCTCTTTAAAGATTTTTTTTCCTACATTTTATAGACCAAATTATATTCAATAACATTATTAGCAGAATGGCAGTTATACTCTAAATCCTTTTAATCTATATTCGAACCCCAACTGATGTAGATTTTGAGCGGCTGATGCCAATAATAGAGTCAAACATTTCCGAGATCAATCATAAACTTTATTACAATTAACTTTAGATAAAGAGAAAGCATATATACAACCAAATATATCCCTTGAATTAATAATTTATGAACACCTTTTCCACTTTTATATTGTAAAATAAACATAAACAGCAATACCGAAAAATAAAAAAGCCTCGAGAGCAAATCTGAGGAATCTATATTTGAAACATGCTGTTCACTCCTTCTGTCTCTTTTGTAAAATCTTTATTGAATAAATAGTGTCAATCCTGGCATCCTGGTGTGAGCTGGAATATATTTTGATCCTGCACCAGCTGGCACCCAGGAGAAGCACTGCTGTTCACAGGGATCTTTAACCTTTTGGTCAATACCAATGTACCTGTAAAAGGCTCATACCGGTCGATATTATCAGCCAACCAAAACATACACATATCATGATGACAGCCCTTACCGTTAGTGATTATCTTTACAGTACAAATGAAAATGATTTTTTCTTGATGAAATAAAATGATAGAATTTCATGATTTGAATCCACAGAAGGTGAGCATGCTACCTGGATAGGTGAAAGGCCAGGGTCCATCCACATAGCCTATATATGCTGTGATGCAGACAGCCAGGATGCCGTGTACCAGGGTGACGAGGCGGCAGTTCCACTCATAGCTCCTGGAGCCGTTGACGTAACACAAGATAAAGTAGAAAGAGGCCCAGCAGGAAAGGCACAGGAGTGAGCAAACCACGAGCAGTTCCATCTTCTCTTCTGAAGACAAAACAAACAGGAAAAGCAGCTAAAACAAACTCACAGTTTCTTTCAAAACACTTGTCAGTCAGCGATCGTCAAGCCAACTTTGAATCACATCACACGGTTAGAGAAAAAAGCCTGGAGGCACATCTTGCTCAGTAATATCGCTTACAGTAGAAAGACACAGCATTACCCTCCAAAGACATGGACTGTGCAGTCCTTTGTGAGTAACCAAACAAGTAGCCTTTGCTTGAACTATAATAGCACTATAGTTGGCCGGCCGAGGGTCTGGTGGGGTGAGGGGGACGTCTCTCCATCTGCTGTGACGTTTGTACAAGGAGGTAAGACCATGCGGATTGAGAGTCCCCCCCCCTCACTGGAATGGGACACACGCTTTATTCTCAAAGACTTCAAGATAGATTCAAAATAGATGGGAGGTTAGTGGGTGCTGAAGCACAGACTGCTCCCACTGGACACTTTGAAAACGAAATAAATCAGGCTAGAATTGTATCGTTGTTGCCTTGGTTGCTATGTGCAGCACAATTAACACACGGGTGTCAGGACGTCACGGGGAGGTGAACAGGTGATATTACATGTAGCAGAAAAACTCAGTTTGAATGCATGCAAGTGCGTTGTCACATAATTATTCGAGTAAGAGTTATAGAAAAAGACACTTGATTTCAATGAATTCAAACATGTGTGTCTATAGTTATTATTTGGATATGGTATAGTTTAGTGTCAGGTGTGATAAGGGTAACCCTGACCTTTTTCACTTATTTATTTGTTGTTGTGTATGCACGAACATATGCCAAGATAAATAAACATAAACACAGGCCAAAATAAAAAATAAAATAAATCTCTCTATGAAAGAAGGGTTAGGGTTAGAAGACATGGACATGCACAGACGAACTGACATCAAATCATAAAAAACAAATAAAACAAAAAAGGGGGTATGCATAAAGGCACAGGAGTCTGGAACAGTTTTCTTTAGGTGCAAAAGAGAAACATTGATATATATTATTCACGTTTACTTATTATCCCTGTATGTTGTATAACCTCTGTGCTCTAGGTGGCAGTCCTGTTTAAGAGACTTATTTGATATTTCTTGAATTAAAGCTAACAGAACGTTACATTAGGACAGTGTCAGTATTTTAGAATGACAGGTGTGGAAGCAGATATTAAGGTCTTTTGGATTTTAGGTTGCACAAAAACTAATTGAGAACATTTGAGAGGCTCTAATTGCGTTCCCATGGAAACCCCCATAGGAGTGAGGCAGAGGGGAAGTAGCCGAGCTGATGTTGATGTTTTTAAATCCTCGGTTAATCCAGTGAATAGACGGCAGCAGCAGCTGATGTCTGTGAACTCAAAGTGGCAGCGGGACCTCGGCTCATCTCTGGTTTCCACTCAACACCGCCCCGCTCAGTTAGCTGGATCAGACAGCAGTAAGCTAACGACAGAGCGGCTAACCAAGCTAAGCTAAGTGATGGAGGGGGGACATCATTTACCTTAAAGGGACACATGGGGCAGCTTCTTCACTCAGGTCCTGGGTGGTGTGTGTTTCTGAGGGAGACTGTCACACACAAACACACACACAGACTCACACAGACTCACACACTCCTCCAGCTGCTGCTTGTCCTCCTTCATCGCTGATTCCACCGGTGGCAACAACAGCAGCTTTCCTCAGCATCCCTGGATCCGTCCTGCACCTCATCGGCCACCGTACATGCACATGGGCAACTAGTAACAACACCAAGGGCTGTGTCCGAGTTGTGTTATCTTATACTGCGCTGTAGTTTCAATATTAAGACAGGATTATCTCATATTCATATAATACATGTTTCTATTTTCCTCCATTTCTTCCCCGGTCACTGGAAGCTGTCTCCTCTCTTAGTAGCGGTAAAAGCGACAACTAGTGGTCAACGACGAGAAGTACACGCATCATTTCCAGCACTAGGGGCACAAAATGGAAGAAACTCGTTGTAATAACATAACAAACCCTGCACAATAGTTTTATGGTTGCAGAGAACTTGCCACCTGCATGAGCTGGGTTCATACCCTAGTGACACGACCTGCCAAAGTGTCCACAAGCAAGGCATTCAGTCCCATTCGTCCAGCTGGACTTGTGTTTGACCTCATGGTTTGAGTAAGTAAATAGTTACTTGAACATGAGCACATTAAAGTATGAAGTTAATGTTATATTATTACATATATAATCAAGTTGCCAATAGGTTTAATTTGCTTATTATGTGTTCACAGAGTGACCTAACAAGAATGGCACTCAGTATAGAGCACATACCTCCACCAGGGCCCAACAGTTCATTTATGAAAGAACATGTAATTCCACTAGATTCAGATATTTATTTGGATCTACACCAAATTGCACACACTCTGTCCCCTAAACATGTTTTTCATCAAGATAAGATAAATAATTATTCTCTGGAAAATCTAGGATCATGTTGACAAGTGTCCTATTTCACAAAGAATGTAAAAAGAACTTCCTGGATCAGCAGCAAAATGTAATGGTAAAGGTAATTAAGTCATAGAAATAAACATGCATAAGTACAGTATGCAGTGCAAGGAAAGACTTTATTGAAACAATTCATGTAAAACGACTCATAAATGGTACACCACCTAACTGCTTCATTTTATCCTTATGGCCACATTTTACAGCATATTCAGAACTCTTTCATAGAAAAAAATATATTTAACAACTTAAACTACATAATTACATAGCAAAGATATCAGTGGAAATGTTAAGGCACTTGATCACCAGAAAAGGCCACAATTAGAAATGCTTTGCTCATTTGGTTCTTTAGTTAGCAGGACATACATAATAAAAAGATGAACCTTTGATATGGCAGTAAAGACTTAAATGAAGATGGAGGTAAGAGAAACCAAAAAAAAAATCATACTTCCAAACTATTGCGCTAAGGAACAGACAATAATGACATTTGGTCCCACAAGTTTAAGAAGTGCTCCTTAAATTATGTCTGTAAATAATTAGGGATATGTGATGTATAAATTATTAAAATTTAGGAGACATTAAACACAAGAAACACTGTATGACCAGTAGATGGCAGTATAGATTATAAAAAGTTTAACCTGCTGGAAAACGTCAAGCTGAAGAGCCGGTTTCTAAAATGTGAAACTTTACACCCTTTGACAGTATTTACTTGTGACTTTGGTTTACTGGAAACAGACGTGGGATGTGGGTATGATGGGTTAAAGCAGAACTAAAACTGACTGTCCTGTGATATACGATGATAAACCTAGTTTAGAAGTAACGTGACATCTGGATTTTAACGAGGAGGTTAAATGTTTCTGAAATGTGTTTGATTTCTTCCTACTACTGAGGACCTGTGGTTTGGATATTGAAGATTAAGAGCTAGTTTAATTGAAAAAAAAGAGGAGAAAATGATGAGGTTATTTTAAAAAAAATTATACAAAAATAGTCATCCATAATTTCACTTTGCAACCAAAATAAATAAAGCCAGCATTGAAGAAACATTTTCTCTGTCAGCCATCTTACATTGTTATAAGCAGGCATTTAGCTTGATATACCAAGGTTTTTCACAGAGCTTTAGGAGAGGGAGAAATCAACCATCCAAATATTCCTTCATCAGGATGGAAGAGTGTGTTTGTATAACTCCTTTGTGTCAGAGAGGGACTCTGTCCATCTTTGTGCATACAGTAGCTTCCTCGAGAGGTTATTGTTGTTGGTCTCCGTCAACTGCTCCAGGAATCCCCCCCCCCCCAAAAAAAAGGCACAAAAGAGTTTCTTGGCAAAGTCACATTGTAGTTAGATTTTCCCAGAAAGTTGAATGAGTCTTTTCAAACAATGTGCTGCATCTGTCCCCCTGTGATGGTTTTGGTCTCATTTGTGAACCTGAATTTGTTTCTGTTTGAGCTGGAACATCTGGATCTCACCACTCCCCATCTGAGACAGCTTCCCTCGTCATCACATAAACTGAGGTCCAGTGTTACTGTGTTTACTTTGAACAGCAGGGGTGGGGAAGCATCTCTTTTCTTCGCCGCCCAGAAACAAACACTAAGTCTCCTCGTCCCATAGACACAGCTGCTTCTGGGGAACATAGTAGGTGAAATGGTATCCCTTGCTGCAGCTCTTTATGCCACACTTGTAGGTGGAGCCTCTACCTGTGGTGTCCCGGCTGCGGCAGTACTTCAGCAGACATGGGTACCACTCCAGACGCAGGCTGTACGTGCAGAGACAGGGCTGCCACAAGTCTTTAGTGGAGTGACAGGCCTGAAAGCTGGGCGCCTCCGTTGTTATGGGCAGGACCTCGAATATGGAGCCATCCACACCTACGACAGAGGAGCAGGGGCATTATTAGCAAGTCATGCAGCGTTATATACAAAGATCGTGCTATCATACAGCTGTGTGAATCATTCCCTCTCACTGAAACACCACACTGTACTGAAGAGGGTAAACAAAGTGGCTAAAAGGAGGGAGATGGTGCTGTGGTTTGGAAGCTTTGTTATGCAAAGGAGACATAACTGTGATTCCCTCTACAGATACCAGTGCACAGCTTGTTTAATGCAAAAGAGAGCTTTGTGAGCCATGACGATCAACTTTGTTCCCTGTATAACAGTGCTGTCAGCAGACAATGGTGCTGTCGTATGGATTCTCCTCAGCCGGAACAATTTGGAGTTCATTGCCATTAAGATGCAGGATCCCACTGGATTCCAAAAGACAAAAACACATGGCTAGATTTTATTACTTTATTACTGTGTTTTAAATCCAGGGAAGCGGGAATGAGGACAATTTAGAGAAAGATACAAAATGTACCTTCTCGGTTCAACTGCGAGTCCACGGGTATAACCTTAATCACTACTATACACATATTGGATGCTGGAGTTTCTATGTCACATCCTGCCTCCTTCACACTCTTCCCGGGCACCAACCCTCGCCTGAATGTTCTGGACATATCCTTGTTGCAGTGAACATGTCTGACCAGCACAATCTCCTTTTGTGTTCTTCTTATGTGAAAGTAAGAAACTCCAAAAAATGTCCAGATCAAATTTTCCGGATGTCTTCCAGAGTTCATGTCTAAGAACGGCTACAGATAGAATGAAGATTGATGTAGCCATATCACAAAAAAACAAGATAAATCATGGAGTCATATCACTGACATGAGGAAAGAGGTGTTGAGGCGATACGGATGACAGGGACGGTGTGGGGGGGATGAGAACAGTCAGTGGAGAGATAATGAGGGGGGTGGCAGAGAAGAGATAAACCAACAGACAAACATGTTGCTCAGTCCACCTATAAAAGTTTCTGTTATAAACAACGGTACGATGAGCACTGACCTTTGTCCAGCCAGTGTTTGACATCTGCCTCCCTGGTGTACACGGCCTCTCGGGCTTCGCTGCACATGTTGTGGATGTGGGAGCTGAGCTGCGAGGCCTGGCTGAGATTGACAGCCACGCTCATGGTCAGCTGCTCCAGTCCTCTCCGCTCCTCTGCCAAGCGAATGGCCTGAGGATTTTTCTGAGCAGACAGTGCAGGATAATAAGCATTCTGGGCAATGTGATCAATCTATTGATGAGAGTAACGGAGCTGAAAATGTCACAGCCAATGTCATACCTGTCTGAGACGGGCCATAGACTCGCTGGGGATGATCTCATTGCGGTTGAGGCGAGAGATGAAGCACAGCGCCTGGTACTGGTTCTGCCCTCTTTCCAGCTCGCCGAGAATAAGCGCCCGAAATATCTTCACATCCTGAAAGACACGGCGAGATGAGAGATGTCTGGCTGGCTGAACGGATACACAGACAGTTCCCAGAAGACATTGAAGTGGTGCGAGAGGCGAGGTTGTTGTAACTTACTGTTTATATGCACAGACTCATACAGATTAGAAAAAATACTCTTTCCATTTTGGTACTTGATGCAGTACTTTTCCAGACACACAAAGTAATTCAATATGTGGAGTTCAAAGATGCTCAAACAACCGTCTGCTAAAAGTAAAGAGGAGTTTATGTTCTCTCCATCGATAGAGTCTCATCTGACAGTTTGTTGATACTTTTTATTGTCTGTATGCCTGTGAGACGTTGCTCCAGTCACGCTCTGGTTACTTTTGCTGTCAAATTAAGGCCCATGGGCCTGTTTCATGACAAACCTATCGTTTTTTTTAACCACTCTGTTTTATGTGGAGCCGTAGAAATAGGAAAACTGTGATAGCGGAGAACTCTCGCGCACACACACACAAGAACCTTGCTGCTGTTGGCAAATGTGACGGAGATCTGGCACTGAACCAAAGGCCATAAAGAGTTCCGTAAGAGGGCAGGCAAAGCATGATGGGAAGCTTGAGGAGTGGGGAGAGCAGAGCAGCAGACCTGTCTCCCTATTCATTAGACAACACCCCCCCTCCTTGGCTTCAGCTTCCAAGACAGGCACACACAGTCCCAAACACCCCTCCTCCGCTTTTCACACACAGGTCTGAAGCAAACAGGCTTCAGAGGAGGAGGCTGTCACTCCCCGAGCTGGAGGAACCCTGCGGATAAAATGCAGCAGAGATAACCCCATCGAGTCCTCCCCGAGCTTGAGGGTCCCACCGCCTGCATGCAAGAATGTACGTACTGGCAGGAAAGCAATACAACCTTTATGGGATCGCCGGTTCCCCATCCCAAGCGCCAATGCTATCTGTGAAAAGAGTTTCTGGCAGGCGTACAATACAAGCATGGCTATTACACAAGACAATCATGCGATGCTATTTGACCTTTGGAAAGCAAATTACTGAGCAAATATTGATTCACAGGCTTTGCGAGATATTAACCTCAGATCACACACCCCCAACAGATCTCTGTGAGCCG